CTTCTCAAGGACTTGCTCTGTAACTTTCTCCTAGACCATTACACGTTCCTTCCCGGCAGCATTTGAACCCCTCAAGTCGCTTCCACATTAAATCAACTCCTGTTCCCCACAGGTTCCTCTCTCTCCTCATCTTTATAGCCAAATATCTTACGGCTTATCTAAACCTACCCTCTCCACTTCTCCCTCACTCCTCAACCTCTTGCATGCTGGGTTCCGCTTGGACCGTGCCATTGAAGCTATTCTTACCAAGACCACTAGCTACCTCTTTGTTGCTAAATCAATAAGCACTTTTTAGTCGTTATCTTACTTAACCTCTGTGCAGCATTTTCTTTATCAAATCACCCGTCTCTATATTCTATATATACTTATTTGACAAATCATTTTAAAGTAAATCACAGAGAAAATGAATTCCTAAGCCTTACCAACATGTCCACAGACCATATAGAATAAACTACTGAAAAAAAGGAGAAAGAACCATGAATAAAAACCTTTACATCTCTACTTAAGCATAGTTAAGTTCCGAAATGAGAACATTAAGCTCTGCACCAGATACTTTTATAAATGTACTCTCATTCTATCATTTAATTCTCATGAGTTTTGTAAGGTAACCTAATTAATAAACAAAAAGAACCCTGTGAACAACTTGCAGCTCTAGGAGGAAAGGAGAAAGGAAAACATTTGCTGAGTGCCCATGATGTATCCAACACTTAAGTTACCTCAAATTATTCCTACAACAAGCTCAAGATAGAAAAACTCAGTGAGGTCAAGTTATTTGCCCAGATCCTAAAGGAGGTAAATGGCAGGTGTAGGAATTTGTTCCAAGTTTTCCTCTACCACAAATCTATTCATTACTTTTTAAATTCAAATTTTAATTAAAAAACCTAAATTTAAATTTTTTTGCTATGGTCTGAGATGGGTAAAATACATATTATTGCTGCTACTTGCACAGGAATGCTTGGGCTAATTCTCTTTTTAGTTTTTTAAAAAGACTTCTTTTTTTTTTTTTTGGTGAGGAAGATTCACCCTGAGTTAACATCTGTGCCAGTCTTCCTCTGTTTTGTACGTGGGTCGCCACCACAGCACAGCAGATGAGTGGTGTAGGTCTGCACCTGGGATCCAAACCTGCGAACCCGGGCCGCCAAAGCAGAGTCTGCAGAACTTAACCAAAAAAAGAGGAGCCGGCCCCTCTTTTTAGTTTTTCTTAGCCCTATGGTATAGACAAGGTAGGGAAAAATTACAGCAGTGAGCACAGAACAAGCAGCATGGGAGAGTCAGAAGCCAGGGTTCTGGTCTCACGGCTTTGTCACCAAATGTCTGATGCCTGGCTAGTCACTCAATTCTCCTTACCCAAGAATGTTCATCTGTAAAATGAGTGAGTTGTTAGACTATTATTGAGGTTCCTTCCGGCTGTTGAAAAAACAAAACACAGATGAAACCCTATAATTCTTAGTGGTTTGCTTCAGTCATCAGCTGATGAGAGCCAGGATGTAGGTCTTGCTGATCCCAGCCCTAGGCTCTGTGCATTCTCAGTGAACATAGTCACTGGGGGAACTAACTGTAAATGTAGGCCAATTTTAATTGGAATATTGGTCAGTACAACTAGATTAACCTTCAAACTTCCGGAAGCAGGTCTCCCACAGATTCTGACACAATAACTGATGATGAAGACTGTGCCAAAAGAGGAGCCACGAAAAAGCTCCTCTTTAAAAAGCTCCAGTGTCATCCCTACCCCCATGCAGCCTCTGCTAGACAAGCTATCCTACTTAGCACACTTATACTTTTTTAAAAGACTATCTGCTCCACTAGACAGTAAGCTCTAAGAGCTCTGTCTTGTTCACCTTTATATTCCTAGCTTTTAGCACAGGACTTGGCACATAGTTGGCAATCAGTAAATGTTTATGGAATGAATGGCAAATCTCAACCATCTCTGAGTCTCTCAATCTAACTTCCCTTCAGGGTTCAGCTCAGATGCCATCTCTACCTCTCCCCCCAGCCTCCCATTATATTTTAACTCCTATGGTGTGTCTCCTCTTGTATATTTTATTACATTATTTATGTGTATGTATGCTCTCCAATAAGGTCAAACTCTGAGACAGAGCTATCTTCTGTTGACCATTGAAACCCTACAATACCGAGTTCATAGTAGGCATTCAAATATGTGTGGAAGGAGCACATCACTTTTATATATACCAAAGCAGTTACACAGTTCTTTACATACAGGAGACAGTCAAATATTATTGAATAAAATAAATGTTATTTCTGATGACATTGTGATGAGGCTAGTACCCTCAAACTGCAAATGTTTGTAAAGTACTCCAAACCTTTTGGGAAAAAATATGGTAAACTTAGATTACAAGTCATAAAAATGGTCATATCCTTGAATAATAATCTCATTTCTGGTATTTTGTCTTAAGGAAATAAAAACAAAAAACAAATTAAATTGAAGCAAACCAATCAAAACAACAAAGTTTACAAAAAATTTAGTATAGCATTTTCTTAGTGAAAAATTGGAAGATATTATGGTACATTGATATAACACTATTTTACTTTTCTAATGATAGTTCTGAGGACTCATGAAAGATGCTTGTGACTAAGATGCTAAGATGTGTGAAAGATGCTAAGTAAAACAAAGTCCATTTGCACTACCGTATCTGCTGTAGAAAGGCAGGACAAGCAAATAGGCAAGACAATAAAAAGTTATTTGGGGATAGTGTCTTACTGGAGATTTTTTTCCCAAAGTTTCCTTTAAATCTACTATTTTTATAATAAAAAATTTGGTAGAGTCAACATTAACCATTCCTTAATGTAGCTATCTATATTTCCCATAGACAGTTATTTTGTAAGGACCAAAGCATAAAATTAAATTGTCTACTAAGTAGCTACTGCTCCAGTATTTAAATCTAGGATTCAGGTGATACCTGAATAGGGATGCTATTCTGTCATGAGGTATAAAGTACAGGCATGCTGGACATGGTGCAGAGACAGATTTGAATGAAAATCAAGCAGCTAGACGCAGCAAAGATCTCAGGAACCACACAACTGATAATGAGATTACTCACTCAAGGAAACTATTAATCCTAGTTCCTGAAAGGGCTAAATAAGGAGGCTACAACAGAAGGGTTATGAAGAGAAGGGAAAGAAATTAAGGATGGCTGTTTTCCTGGTTCTCCACCATCTCCTATCCCCTTACCATCTATTATCGCACAAGAATCTGTAAACTATGGCCTGCCAGCCAAATGCCACTGGCTGCCTGTTTTTGTAAATAAAATTTTATTGGAACACAGCCAAACCCATTCATTTACATATTGTCGATGTAGCGTTTTCACGCTACAACGAGTTGAATAGTTGTGACGGAGACTATATGGCCCACAACGCAGAAAATATTTACTATGTGGCTCTTTACAGAAAAAGAAGCATTTGTCCTGTAGCCGCAAATATATAAGGAGGTTTATAAACAGACACCCAGTTTAGATATTGGGCCACCTTTTTCTTTTACTTGGTCTTCAAACATGCCAGCCTGGAAGACAGAGTGATCATATAATTTATCATCCAAACTGAGATACTTTTGAGAGTGAAAGGGGGTGCTAATGAGACTGTACACCAGGACAACAGAAGTAAACCAGGACCATTCCAGACACCAGGCATATGGGCACCCTACTAGAAGGGCTAGTTGCACAAGAGCAGGTTTCAAAGCACTCAATTGCCCCTTCAGGGACTGCTTTTATAAGTACACAGAAAGCCTCGGTGGCTCCGTTTTTTGGTTCTTCCTACTTCAATTGCCCTCGACGCCTTCCCTCTGTCCCAGCTCTGCCTCAGAGCCAGCTCTGGTCCTTGAAGAGTCCAGCTGTTTGAATATCACTCAGGATACAGTATCTCCACTTTCATTAGAGCAAAAGGGGAAAAGTTTATTCATACATTTAAATAAACCTTAATTATTTCCAATCAATGCAAATAAGAGCTTGGTACCTGCAAATTTCACTTGGTTTAATATCAAGGCAACCCCTTAAAATTCTACTCTTCTTTAGGAGAAGAGTTTTAGGTTTCTCTTCTCAAAATTTAAAAATGACCATCAACCATAGTATTTATAACAAAGAGACCCCAATATTTATGGTATATTATCCACTGATTTGAGCTTTTAATACTTATCAACACTGTTTGGAAAATTATTTAAGAGTGAAGTTTCTAATTTTATCATTCCAGAATGAAAAGAAAAAAAAGAACACATACCCCCACACAACTTTTTCTCCCCCCTTTAGTAAAAATTTTTGATGCTGTGGGGAAAAAGTGAAATGAAAGACGTTTAGAGCACCTTTGGTGAAATTTAGGACGTTATACTTTGTGAGACTGTTCTCTGGGTGAACAATAGGAGCTCTTAGCTTCAAAACCTCTGGATGGCTTTCCAAATATTGCCATCTGGTGGAATTTGAGTTAATTGTTCCTTTGTTCTCAGAAGCTCCTGGAAGTGAACCTTGAAGGCACTATTAGATAGAGAGACTCAGAGTACCAGTGAGAAATAACAGAAGGTCAAATGATTGTGTCTTAAACACAAATCCCAAACTGAAAAAATAAGGCTCTCTCTCGGGTCTTCAACTCCTTTTCGAGATACCTCTCTCTCTCTATTGTAAAGTCAATAGAGCAGTTGCCTTGATTTTAACAAGATCAAATAATCACTTATTCACAATTAGAAATATCATGAGGTCGTTTGACTATAACTTGACATTCTCTCCCTCCACTTATCACTAATAATATCTCCAAATTAAACTTTAATTGGCTCAACCATTTTTAGAAGAATTGCTGATAGCAGTTAATTAGCCATTAGTATAAATGGGAAATGGAATATAGTTTAAAAAATAATGTTTTAACGGAGCATGTTTACTCAAAAATTTGTTTTAATTGTATAATGGAATTTTGAAAATAAATTTGTTACAGAGGCATTTATAATACTCCAATTTAATCTGTAAACAAGAAGTCATAGAATACAAATTATATTTAAACCTTACCTTGAGCATCCAGGCTCTCTCCCTGGCTGTCGAGATGAACTGTTCCTCTGAGAAATGGGATACTGGGATAGTAAAAAGGAAAAAAAAAAGAAAAAAGAGAGAGCATTTAATATGATGAAAACATAGAAGCAAAGAGTTTATAATTTAGTTCATTGGGTGTGGCCAGCAATGGAAGAGGGGATTAAAGAAAATATGCATACAAAATATCCAAATTCAGTTGTTTTTACCATAAGAGAGACATTAAGTCAGCCAAGCAATAGGGTTCTCAATCTATTAGATCAATTTTTAGGTTGATTTATTATAGTTTGTGAATATTTATTATAACATCAGTCCTGTGAGAGAATTTTTTTTACTTTCCCCCCACCCTCCATAGTCTGATGTGATGAGAATCATATGTTAGCAGATAACCTCAGGAAGCAGTGCCTCTAATAGGATATCAAATGCCAACATCAATTAGAGTATTGACTTCCCGAAATGTAGGTTAATTTGCAGGTTTTATATCTGGTATAAACATAGGCTTACTCTTCTAGTCAAAAGATTTTTGTTTAATTTTAACAGGATAGGGCCGGCCCCATGGCTTAGCGGTTAAGTGCGTGCCCTCCGCTGCTGGCGGCCCGGGTTCGGATCC